AATACGCATTCCAACACAACACACGCCTCAGTAATAAAAATGATAATCAAGTGAAACGATGAAAACGAAAATAGCAACATTTCGATTAAAATTCAATTTCGTTTCAGACAACCACAAACGCCGCAGAGGCGCACGACCTGCATTAGCATTTCGCGCTGCAAAAGAATGGGAACGACGATAGAGATTTAGAGTGATCGTAAACCACCCAGACCATGGGTTACATGGCTAAACATTTCCCAATAGATCAACTTTTTCATCTAAAATGCAAGAAAATGAACATTTTCAATCAAAATTACGTGTAATAAACATCTTAATCAACAATTTGTGATTATCTTTACTTCACTGATTGCAAATGAAAATATTTCGATGTATTTCGAAATAAAAGCCGTGACAGATTAACGATTTCTATTTAAAATTCGATTACATTGCTCAACACATTGTGTACTGTTTAGAAAGTGAGTCGATTGAACTGATGCATGCATCCAATCAGTCAATGCACAGCGCGAAAACCCAAGAAAACACTGAAAAAACAACTTAACCAGAATTAATTACGAATTGACTACGTCAACTTCACGTAATTCCCTAGCGCGAAACGTGCTGCGTTGTTTATTCATGTGTTGAATTTCGAATTAATAAAATACGCGAGTTTAAACACCTTCCATGCATGAACGAGCAATAAATGCACATGTTTATTAAAATTCCGATCTGTACAGATATCGGCGCACATTTCTGTGCAAATCCACTTACTTAATAAGTTACAAGAATAAAGTTTTGTGATTTATTATGTCAGCTGCTAACGAGATACTAAAACTTTTTAATACGCAACTAAAAAGTCTGTTGTTCTTGTGATTAACTTTGGTTATACAAATAACACATCTGCTGCAATTAATACTTCTCAATTGCAAGCTCAACAAAAAAAAATCGTTTATAATAAATGCATCGCTTTTTCATGCGGAGTTGATTCTAAACGCCGTTTGAAATAAATTTATAACTCGCCATTAATGCCCCATCCGTACGCGGCACATTAACACGCCGATGCTGAACGGCACAACGACGACGCAGAGAAAAAACCTTAATTGATTACAATATAAAATCTTAATTGGTTATATTAGTTAGATTTATGTTGTTAAATATTAACACGGCGATCAGGTGATGATGGAGAGTCGCTGACAGCTCTATGAGTTGATGAATGGATCGCTCTTACGATACGACGTCCACTTTTTCACTCTCAACGCATTCGCGCCGGTTACACCTCTCGAGACTAGTATCGTACACATTTCGAACAATTTGAGCGATCAATCATCAAACTCGCGTCTTCAGCTAATCGACGAATTGGCAACAATAGCACACAATTTTATGTCGTAATTAATGCCAATAATGTTGCTGGCAGTAGTCGATACGCTCTCCAGCGTCTCTTTTTGGTGAACAAAGAGATATTTCGCGATTTGCATCTGTGGAAAGGCAAAATCCGAGGTGAATTTCAATGAAAACATAATTCACGTCGCCCGTCCGCATGCCGGCGTAGCATGCAAAAAAGGGGTTCGACCTTTTTCATATTCATCACGATCGACATACAATATGACGGCATGCGATTGCATTGAAAGATCAACGACTAATTAAGATATTAAGCGCAATGCGCTCGCGAGCGCATGAACAATCGCCAGCGCGCGAACGGCGGTAACAAGGCATCTGATCGAGACATTCATGATGCATGTTAAACTTGTAAAAGTCGCCATTATGAATGTTAATGTTAAGCAACGTTGAAACACCGCGCCAAACGAATGTGCAACGCCGTTTCACATGCTTTATTGCACAATCGAACGCAATACCAATAAAGTACCGCGAAAGATAACCATCGTACATTACTAATTATATTTGCATATTGGTAGCCGCCATGTTCGGTGTTCATGGGCGCCCAGCGACATCGTGCGCTTATGAAATTTAATCGCGACGACGCGATCTCATCCTGAGCAATCCAAGAAAACCGCATTAAAAACTCAAGTGTATAACGCAAAAGAGACACAACACATATGCGCTTGGAACTAACACCAGGAGAATCCTGCAAAAACATTTATTCCAGAATCTTTAGAGTTTTTTTTTAAGAACAAAGAAAAACTATTTGGTAAAAAAAGGGTCGAGAATACTTTCTCATTTTTTGCGATATTTCGATTGCAAATATCTTGTAAACTATAAGCTATGGAGAGGAACGGATAGAAGATTCTTAATCTATGGCAAATTCTCTATATAATAAGCTTATCAATGCCAAAAAATTTTACCGAGTGATAACAGAGAATAGATTAAATTGATGCAAAAATCGAATGATAAAAACTTAAGAAACAAATGTAAAAATAGACACGATCGTGTGTTACTGTTAAAAGCCTAGATTGGAATGTTTAAACAAACATAATTGATTAATCGCCGGATTGAATTGCGTTCTTGCGTTTTACCTAATTAGACAAACACGTTCCGGCCGCGGATTGATTGATAAACTGCGCGCCGGAGACGTATAATCAAAGCAAAATTATAGTTTTCTTGTTCTGCTACCAACTAGCAGCTCCAGAACGAGAGCCAAATCGATTACAGAGCAAAAATCAATTGAAACGATTGACTCTTACATTCATACCGCACCTTTTAAGCATTTTTCCTCTCGCAACCGACCGTCGGCTGGGTGCTGGGTTAATAAAATGTTTCGTCAATGACAAACAAGCACAAATCATGCCTGCGAGCAGTCCAATTCGATTAAACATTGTTTTTGTCTAGCGGTCGACGTACCCAATTCTGCGCTGCATGCAATTACCGAAAATATTTTTACTACCAAACAACTTCCATAATTATTTTATCAATCCGGCTCGTTGAGCAAGCAACGACCGGCGACCAACGAGCATCGATCGACTGGCAAATAAAATTAATTGCACGTCGATTGTATAATGATGTATTTACATGCTCGAATCAGGCACACGCATTGCTCTTGAGTGTATGTGCTAATGCACTCGAGTGAAAGTACGTGCGAGCGTATTGCTCACAATCGAACGTATCGGGTCGATTCGTCGGTCGCATGAATTGGTTGTTAATTAAACAAATACGAAACGCAATTACGGTCGATAACTCGTTATTGGATTGCGATTTCGTGCGAAATCGATGCGAGCAATTTTAATGCGTGATTTATACGTCAGCCCACGTTAAAAAATCGCGCTAACGCAGTGCATAACACGCTCCGCTCCATTGACTTGTCGAGAAGTAAGTATCCAACGCACATACGCATGCGTGTAATACTGAGAATCTTCCACGTAAACTCACAAAACAGCCGTAAAAAAAGCACCACTCGGATGGTTTTCGTCCGAAAGCATAAATTAATTTCGCTATTGGCAGAACGACTTGAGAAACGCTTTTGATTTATGTTCATCCCACATGTGGCAACCTTCAACTAATTGAATACCAAATCGTATTCGCGTGATTGATACAAAACTAATCGTTCGCGCATTTCATTTTCGGAGTATGCTCACTAATCGTCTAACGGGACGCGTTAATTTGTAAAATCAAGTACCCATTGATGTAGTATTGATTAATAAGCTTTTCGCATGTTGTCTTCGTATAATTTTTAAAATAAATCTATTTCATTACAAACAATGAACACAAATGGCAAACAGGTGAATATTTCTGCATCGTAATTTAATTATCTTTCATTGAAAATGAAAAAAACATACTACTACGAAACAATATTTTTATTTGCTAAAACGACAAATCATTAGAATTAATGACAACGCGCCGAAATTCACCTGAGCAAAACGTCAAGATACTTATGTTTGCAGAAACTCAAGCATGGCAAAAATATGGATTATACAGAAAGAAATTATAGCGGAAACAGGGTCCATTGATTTCACTTTGAAAAAAAGAACATATATCTACATATTAAACAAATCTAAGAATCAATTTTTATTGCATATAATTATGCAAATCCAGCGTTTATCTGCGTGTTATTGAAACAGCCGTAAGCGGAAACTATTAATTAATTAATACGTGTACCTCTCAATCGTCCAAGCAAGAAATAAAATGGTAATATTCAGAAATGAGAGTGAAGTTTGACCAGTGCACCCGTTTTGTATAACAACTATACTTTATCAATTATTCTAATAAAAATATATCTAAAATTAAAATACAAATGTACATATTTAAAATCATTTACAAACTATTACTATTACCATAAAACACGTGTGTATTCATGAATAAATAAACAATACGACACGAAAACAAGTGAAAAGAAATTGTTTACACCTTACAGTAGTAGAAAAATTACCCCCGCTTTGTCAATACATTGAATTATATTTCATTTCATAAAGAAGCACACTATTCCACCCATTTGAATAATTTAAATTATTTATAAAAAGTTACCACCGGCAATCAATCATTTGTATGACATGCTGCGTTAATATTTATAAACATGCTCAATACATTGTCGTTCCAATTCATTTACAATGCCACAGATGACATAAAAACATATAGATAGATACACGTAGAAAAATACATGAGTGATTTATTAGCTCCTGAAGATAATAGCCAAAGGACATTGCTTGAGTGCCGCTTGGCGAGTCCAGTGTAAATGAATCATTCGCGGCGCGAAACTGCCGGAAAGCAAACAATTATAATCTGACGTAATTGTAAATTTATTGTTAATATCGATATTATCAACTGCTAATTCAGTGCAATTGATGTGAGCACCATTAAACATTTATTGCATATAAAACTGGCACTGAGTAGGTCATTCTGCATATAAAGATTAATATCTGCAATTGATGCGGTTTATTGCCCAGATTTTCAGGTGGGAAAAATACCAAATAAATAAGCCCACAGTTTTTTTGAAAAGTATCAAAGGCATTTTTAGTATTATCCAATTAAAACCGAGTGAAATAAGTTATAATTTAACATGATTGAAATATATGTTCAAATATTTTTTCTTGGGGTGTTGTTGGTGGTAAATGTAAATGCGCAAACTCCGGGTACAGACTTCATTTGCGTAGCCCCAGGGACCTGCGTAACTAACACTACAGGTGGAAACGTCATCGATCCAAGAATTGTAACTCCGGTTAGTTTTTAGAGATTCGATGAAAAGAAATTCAAAAGTTTTAATACTGTTTTATTGCAGGCGGACACACCACCAGTGACACCTCCACCCGCAGGCTGCCCTAATGGCACTGTTGCTTGTTTTGGTTTAATCGGGAGTGGAAATTGCGGCAGGAGATATGTGACTAATGTAACAACAGCTGATGGCCCTAGCACCAATGGAGCCTATCCTTGGCAAGCATTCATCAGAAATCAAACAGCATATACCGGAAGTGGAGTACTTCTAGATGCGTACCATGTTTTGACAGCCGCTCATAAGGTCAACACCAATCAGTAAAGAAATCCAATGTTTTGATGTAATTTCATATAGTTAATAACATATTCAAAACCTTTCAGGGCAACACCAGGTAATCTTCAAGTTTACATGGGTGTCTTCAATCCCACTTCATTATCAACAGCCCAGCAACGTACAGTTGTATCAATGCGCATTCACCCCAATTTCTCCTCTACAACCCTACGCAACGACATCGCAGTCCTCCGTCTGAATCAACCAATTTCCTGGGATACCAAGTCAATGTAGGCACCGCTTGTGTACCTACAGCAGGAACCAGTTATGTTGGCCGTAACTGCACAGTCTCTGGATGGGGTCAGACTGGATTCAACGTAAACGATTCCCCCACCAGCCCCCAAAAACAAGTCACCGTTTCCATCGTCGATTATACAACCTGCCGCACATCCATGGCTCAACCAACCGTCTTGGGGACAAACGTAGATGTTTTCTTAGATCAGAATGAGTTATGTGCAGGTGGCCAAGCCAACCGTGATGCATGTACGCAGGATGGTGGAGCACCACTCGTCTGTGACGTTAATGGTACCTACATGGTGGCAGGGTTAGTTATATGGGGTAAAAACTGTGGTCAACCAGGTGTTTATGGTGTATATGTCGACGTTGCTAAATATAGGCCATGGATTGATTCGACAATTGCTTCTTTTGGCTAATATCAAATCGAAAATCTTCGAAAATTCTTAGAAATTGTACACCGGATGTTATTTATTAACTTTTTACATTGTGTTGAACATAAGAAATAAATCACGGAAGCATGACACATTTTGCATTGCATATAATTGCGTAAAGATACCTTGACTGAATTACTCATGGCTTTTCATCGATGTTTCCCTGCTCAATTACAAGGAAAAACGGAAATATTCAATTATATTTATATCCGATTACACTGAAAGGTACAAAAACGGATGAGCAACTCAATAATTAGCGATTTGAAAGAGCAAATAAATTCAAAGTACTCGGGGATTTATTTACACCTTCACACTCATATATAAATAATCATAATAGATATAATTATGCCAATGTAAAATAGTGTAGTCCCATGATCAAATATTGAAGTACGTAATAACTTCGCCCTTGAATTCTGCGAATTCAAAGGACAAATATTGTGATGATGATCTAGAATACATTACGTTTACAATTTGATTTGTTCGGAATTTCCCATATTTATATTAATAACTCTCGTTTATGACGAATGTTAATCAATATTGAAATTAGAAAAAAACAGCATAGTGCACCATTAAAGATTAAATTGGCTACAAATTCGTATAGTTCGTTCGTGTCCATTTAGGTATCGTGCTAACATGCAAACCAGATAATTGATAAACCGATATAATGCTGCTAACGTACAAAAATCAAATGTTTACCATCTAGGTACTATCCCAGTGAGTCATTATCCCCGCAGCCAGACAACTCCAAGAGCAAACACCGAACAGTCGACATTGTATTCAGTATTCTAGTATTCGTGCGTTTTAGAAATAAAATGTATAAATAAACTCGCTCCGATGAATTTGTTGAAAGAGGTGTCATCGGTGCTTTTGCAAGGGTCATTGCTGAATCCTCGACAAATTGTGTTTTAATTCGATTTAATAACACCTTACGAACCAAGCCAAAGTGATTCAATTTTATTTTTTTGGTGGGATGTTGATAATTTTTTAAATAAATAAGACGCGCCGGAGTGCAGAAACATCAGTGTATTGACAAACTATCAAACTAGCCAAACGCAACTTTACATTTTTGAATATTTAAACCTCAGTGTATCAAAATCAAAATGTTTCTACTCACTGTACTCGGTGCAATTATATCAACTGTGCATGCCCAAACACCAGGGGTGAACTTCATTTGTGTACCACCAGGGACTTGCATTACCAACAATACAGGTGGTGGAAGTGGTGTCATAGATCCGCGAATCGTAACTCCGGTAAGTAAAATTCGTCATTTTCTGCCCGACAGGATATAAATATAGGGTTGTTAATTTCAGGGTGGTTCAGTGACCACTTTCCCTCCTGTTACTTCATGTCCACCTGGAACTGTCGCCTGCTATGGAATTGTTGATGGCAACGCTTGCGGAAGGAGATATGTAACAAATGTGCCTATCGCAGATGGGCAAAGTGTTAATGGTGCGTACCCTTGGCAAGTTTTCATCCGTAACCAGACTGGTTACACAGGCAGTGGGGTCCTTTTAGATGCCAATCATGTTCTTACAGCTGCCCACAAAGTCAACTTGAACCAGTGAGTATTATAAAACCCAAAGAACGTTGATTTTTAACTGGTAATGATTCTAGGGGAACACCTGGTAACTTAGAAGTCTACGTTGGTGTATATAACCCAACAGATTTAACATCAGCTCAAAGACGCACAGTTACCGCAATGCGTATCCATCCGAGTTTCTCTGCCACAACCCTCCGAAATGACATCGCTGTGCTTCGACTCAACACACCAATTTCTCTGGGTTACCAAATCAATGTAGGTACGGCTTGTTTGCCATCGGCTTCTGCGTCGTATGTGGGCCGTCGTTGTACGGTATCCGGATGGGGCCAAACCGCCTTCAATGTCGCTGACGCACCGACCAGCCCACAAAGACAAGTCACCGTTCCAATTGTCAGCTACGCCACGTGCAGGGCATCAATGGCGCAATCCAACGTCTTAGGAAGCAACGTAGATATCTATTTGGACACTAATGAATTGTGTGCGGGTGGCGAGGCCAACCGAGATGCCTGCACTCAAGATGGTGGAGCACCTTTAGTATGTGAAGACAATGGCCGATTCAATATTGCTGGTTTGGTCATTTGGGGCAAGAATTGTGGTCAACCCAACATTTACGGTGTTTACGTAGATGTCGCAAAGTACCGATCATGGGTTGACTCAGCCGTCAATGAGCTAACATTTGGTTAACTTGTGAAATTGATTTCTGTATTTATTTTATTCTATTGTAAATCTTGATGGTTATTTAATAAATTGTTATATCACATGTGGCTTGTTTTACCAATATAATGTCCCCTATTATTTATAATGATTAAATGTTGTTATTGTGTTGACGGAAAATTCACAATACCTTTCATGTAATAATTACTCATCGAAGCATAAGCACAGATATATAAGCTATTTGTGGACACTCGTGTGACACATTAGCTGAACGAGCAACACCCATAGAAAATGTATTCAATAACAATCATTTTCGTAATATTCTCGGTTTCCACCGTACGTGCAGTAGAAAGACCCCTCTGTGTCCCCCTTGGGACATGCCTTCAAAGCAGAGCTGGGGATGGAACTGTGGATGTCAGAGCCGTACTCCCAGATCCAAGTGGCAAGTGTCCCATGGGAAAAGAATTGTGTAATCAACAAACAAATGCAATAAATTGTGGATTCGCGTATGGAGCCAACGGAACCACTCTAGATGGTCCAGCACCATACGGGGCACATCCATGGCTTGCCTACCTAACAAATCAAACAGGATATACCGGAAGTGGAGTTCTACTAGATCGCTACCACGTGTTGACCGCCGCTCACAAAGTCTACAGGCACAAGTATTCATTGCAAAAACTACAGGTTTACATCGGCGTCTATAATAGGGAATTCCTGCAAACTGCCTACAAACGCAACATTGAAGATATGATCATACACCCAGCATTTGATCCCATAACTTTGAAGAATGATCTGGCAGTATTACGACTTAAAGCGCACATACCCCTAGGATATATGAAAAATGTAGGAGCGGCATGCCTTCCAAGATTCAACGCTAGATTCGTAAATAAAAGGTAATCGCAATCCAAGTTTAATCTAGGAAAATCTAAACAAATATTCTATATCATTTAGATGTATGGTAGCTGGTTGGGGTGTGACAGATTTCGAAACAGGCGATGCTTCAGCCAGTTATCTCAAACAAGTCACCGTACCAATAGTCCCATTCAACACCTGCTATCAATCAATGAAGAACCTGATAGGAGATCGCACCAACTTGTATCTGGACAAAGATGGCGAACTGTGCGCTGGTGGCGAGGAGGGTAGAGATGCCTGTACGGACGATGGAGGAGCACCCTTAATATGCCGAGACGACAATGGGAAAAAGGTGGTGGCGGGCCTCGTAATTTGGGGCAAGAAATGTGGACGACCTAATGTCTACGGAGTTTACGTAGATGTATCAAAATATGTCGATTGGATAACCCGAGCGATTCGGAACCTTCAAGCCTAACCACCACCTTCCACCAGAATTCAACAAATCATTATGTTTTATATTTTTACACTGGCACCGGATTTTTACTAATCACGTAAACATTATTCAATAAAGTTTTGCATATTATATTTTCATAGCAAACATATTAGTATTGAAAAGGCCCTGATAAAAGAAGAAGCGTATAAATGCGTGAATTGATTGCGCAAGTACAATCAATGTCAGTAAATATTTATTCTAGAATACGTTTTTTATATATATTATATAAATAAACAGGAATACGTTCCATAGAAATCCAATAACAAGCCACATGCACTTTGACAATGCACTAACATAACAAATAAAATAATTTGTCAGGATGTTTTACAACACATGCAGCATGTTTGTGCAGCTAGCATAATCAATAAGCTAGGAAAATCCACACATCATTCATTCAAAATCTAATGGGCATTCAGTTCGGGCGTATATAAATGTAATAAAAATCGAGAGTACGATCAGGTGATTAGTTAGTTCGATCGCGACCATCAGATCAGATAGGCAAAATGCTTCCGTTTATTTTGGCAGTGCTTTACCACGTGGTGGTGGTACTACATCAAGCATCCGCACAAAGTGGCACACCCAGATGTGTACCAGTTGGGTTGTGTTTCCCGCAGTCTATTGATGTCAACCCACGAATAGTGACCCCGGTTGGTTAAAACAAAAGTAGGAATTGTATAATTAAATATTTACTCTCCCTAGGGCGAAGGATCACCTCCTGCAAATAATACGGAGGCTTGTACCGCAGGATACGAGCTGTGTTATCCTCTTCAAGGAAATTTTTCATGTGGTACAAGATATACAAACAATATCAGCAATGCTAACGGTCCGACAAGCAGAGGATCACATCCATGGCAAGTATACATGAACTATACTTCTTACATTGGCAGCGGAGTCTTGCTCAATAGGAATATTGTCTTAACAGCTGCTCATAAGGTGTACACTCATGTGTAAGTAACAATAATGCATTAAAAATTTCAAATCCAAACGAAATTCTTATAGAAACACACCATCAAACATAACAATCTACACGGGCGTCAATAACCAAAATGGACTTACTAGCCCACCAGCAGCATTGAGTCAAGCCAGCCAAATCAAAATCCACGAGAATTTTAAAATAGACAGCGCGACCAATAAACCTGTCGATTACAAAGATGACATTGCATTGATTCGGCTGGACACACCACAATTGGTAGGATACCGCACTGATTTGGGTCTGGGATGTCTGCCCAGTCCAACGGATACCTTTGTGGGTAACCCGCTTTGTATAGTGGGAGGTTGGGGCGAGACGCAGTTCCAAGCCGGAGACGGAGGAAGAACACACAAACAAGTGACACTGGAAGTCGTTACGATGGCAACTTGCAAGACGTCTATGCTAAGACCAACCGTGTTGGGCGTTGCAGGAACTGCCAAATATTTGGACGAACAGAAAGAATTGTGTGCGGGTGGAGGATCACAAAGGGACGCATGCACGGTAAGTATTACCATTATACAATTTCCAAATCAAAATATTAAAAATAAATTGCAGCAAGATGGTGGTGCTCCTTTGATGTGTCGCAACGCAGCTGGAAGATTCGTCATCGCCGGTTTGGTAATTTGGGGTAAAGGATGCGGACAGGAAGGAGTTTATGGTGTGTACGTCGATGTAACCAAGTACACCGATTGGATTGCTACCAACTTAAATACGCTACAATTCTCTTAATAGATTAAGATAGTTAACATGAAATGTACAAGATGTAAATATGATGAATAAACATAATAATAACTTTCGCGAGCAAATGATGCTTTGTTACTAACTGGACCAAGCAAGTCAAAGAAATTGATTGTGCAATACGCAGCTGTAGAAAGAAATGTGCAACACGTTCGTCATGAACTTTTGCCACATTTACGAACACGCCGCACATTGTTGTTCATTAAAAGCAGCTAGACTAATAATTGTAATGCTGGCGCACAACGATGCTGTTTATACACAGATCGAACGAGATACGAAATCAAAAATTATAGACCAAGCCGTCGCAATCGAGTGTTCGACTGAGGTGAAAATGTAAAAAGGCGCATTGTTGAATTGCTCGCCGGATGATTTATCGACGAACACGCGATGACAACTTAAGAACATATTTTTACCGATGCAATTGTGCGTCCCCGCTGCGAGCGCGTACAATGCGATTGCAAACAAGCTACGCTCGAAATTGGGTGTTGCGTTAATATATACAGCGCAAACCTTGCAATTATTGCCAAATAGTAGCAATCATCGGGTCTCTTAAAAAAAGCTAATGCCCCAAATGAAAGTCTGCGGATGAAATTTATTGCTGACTCGCGAACGTGAAATGAATGAAATGCCACAATTACAACATTGGACTGGCGCAGGCGAAGAATTCACGTGCAGATATTGGTGAAATTCGAAAATTGCTTTCGAGCGTGATAGGTCGCTGTGTGCTACTACAATTTCTCCTAGACAATCAAAAACCAATTCACAACCGCGCATTACATACAGAAAACCACATAATTCAATCAATCTCGCAATCGTCATACAATTAACTTACAAATTATAAAAGCGTTGGAGGCAAGATCAACGATATGAGATAACTTCATCGCCTTTTGTTCACGTCTAGGTTTCGGCGCGTTCTCATTCTATGCTACCTTCTGCAAGGCCCCACGGTGCGAAGATCCGCGACGAATCGATTCCACCTAGCGCATTGTGTTTTATCAATTTGATGCGGACCGATTCGGGGAACAAGTCACTGAAGCGCGACAGTTTGTTGTTTTCGATGCGTTTTTTGGTGTGAAAAGAGTTTTTTCCAAGCAAATTCTACAAGCAACAGTGTGCGTTCCTAACCCAGATCGCAGTAACAATCTGTGAACATCAAACATTTTCACGTTTCATGCGGAATCCGCTCGATGAATTGGTGTGAAAACAAATTCATGCAAAAAGTGTCCGACTTGCGGACGCATTAAAATCAACAATCGTGCGGCGCCGGCGAATGGAAGCAAAAAGAAGCCTCGAGCAGCAACAACCAACGGCAGAAAACTTTTTGGAGAAGCGGCAGAAATAATTTAAATAAAACGGTTTTCGGTCGCCTCCTGCGTGGCGATATTGCGTTGTGCAATCGTACGGCGCAACCCACCACTACATAAATCTTACTTTAATTACGTTTGTATTTTGTCGCTTATTTGTCAGTCGAGGTGATAAATGCATCGGGCGCGCAACTTAAGACCGAACGGGAAAAGAATTTATTTATACGCGGCAAGCGAGCGCGCGCGCGCATTGTGACCAGGCCCATAATAACGTTTTAATAAATCCCTGAATAATGCGTTCCCATGCGCAAGAGACGCCTAGGATGCATTACATATGAAATTGATTTATGAAATTCCGCACTTGAGATTTTTGAATAAACGCCGGATTTATTGTTCTCCGCGGTTATTATGTGTATAATTTTTTTATCGGCGCACATCTCGCGACTTGGCGGCTCCTCGGAGTTGCGGAGGTGTGCGCCGCGTGTGCATGCATTGTTGCGCAGCTGATTAACACATGAGCTCGGTCGAGATAATCGGGCGCGCCAACCGGAAGAAGAGCCCGAGTGTCGGATTCGCAAAGGGAGCGCGATCTTTGCGCGACGCCGCCGCCCTATTCAATCGCGATGTCGGGATCGCGCTCGGCTTGTTCAAATTGCACGGATCCGGTGTTGGATGGCACAAACGGCGTGCCGGCCCTCAGCCTGTCACGAAGCGGCGGCGCTTTGTGCTGCAAATACAGCGCGAAAATCAAAGTCAGAGATTCCGAAGTGCTGTGGTGTGGTCGGTCGCGAAACAATGCAGAACGTAAATCCCGTACGAAATTGATGATTTGTTTGATACTTTATTAACCGGCACAATGGTCACGATGCGGCCGTGTTGTTTGCATACATTAGCGGAGTGCAGGAATGCCACTTCAATCGCAATTAAGGCTGACAGTTTATTTGCGAACTAGGAGAGCGATAATAATTTTTCATTTTCAGCGCGCACTCGTGGGCACTGGGCACCGTCGGCGTAATGTGCGCCTCGATTGAGTGGTACGCATTTATCGCTAGTTTCATTGTTAAGGCTATTACACCTACAACCTCGTCAGTGGTTGCACCAGTCTGGCACAACAATGGTGCAATCAATCTTAGATTCTAGGAAATGGAAATCATTTGTACATGCAGTTATTCTTCACACCTAAACAGTCATAAAACAAATACACATTGCAATCGTCACCAGGAGGTCTGCGCAACTCAAAAAGAAAAAAGTTGGGCTCAACCGGGATTTGAACCCGGGACCTCTCGCACCCAAAGCGAGAATCATACCCCTAGACCATTGAGCCGCGATATTTACTCGCGGTTTGAATCAGAATTCGAAAGGTAATTTATGCACAGTATACAGGTGAAATAAGAGAAAGTTTCGATTAACAGTTTATTCACTCGTAATAGCCTTGAGTAGCAAATTTAAGAAAGAAATAACAACCACAAGCCCACTGTTACGAGTTATAAATATCTATCAAATTCAAGCAAAAAATCTTGAAAATTTGACAACAATATCATCAAATCCAGCAAAAACAAACAAAAACTGGGCTCAACCGGGATTTGAACCCGGGACCTCTCGCACCCAAAGCGAGAATCATACCCCTAGACCATTGAGCCGCGATAAACACGTGCGATTCAGAAATACATTCCACCAGGTAATAATTGATAGCATATTTGCAAATCTATAATATAAAAATGAATCGCAAAATCTGTTGGTAAGCACATAACTTAACAACGCCTAGACCAATTTGGTCAATTATTTTTTTTAAATGTTCGTTAAAATCCATGGATGGTTTTTACCGCGAGAAAAATTCGAAAGATTGCCGGGAAAACCCTTCTGTTTTCAATAGGATAAACGTTTTTTCTAATTAATTTCTCTAAAATAAAATTGCGAATCATATTGATAGAATTGACACATGCAATGTCTAGAATAAGAGAGTAAACACGAATTACATTTTTATTAAACACTACCAGGACGTGGTCGGGCGCAAAAGCTGGTTAATTATACAAATAAATTCGAACGACATAGACCACCTCGCTGTATCCTGAATTAAATTATAAATAGAAATTCAAAAACCACAAAAATTGATCATTTAATCAACAAATTTGGTTTACTTTTGGGTGTGATAGTACCCATTTTTGATTGAAATCATGCCCGTATGTGCCATCAATACTTTCGACAATTTTTCAAATAAAAACAAAAGTTGGGCTCAACCGGGATTCGAACCCGGGACCTCTCGCACCCAAAGCGAGAATCATACCCCTAGACCATTGAGCCTCGGTGAGCACCTGCAAATCGAAAATAAACTCCACCAGATACTTAATTCTTGATAGGTTATTAGCATACTAGTTTGATTAACAAATTCTAGCTGTATTAGAATTATAAACCAGCCGGTTCTGTGTACAAGTCAAAATTATACCAAGCCGCGATATTGACAAAGAAAAAATAAACTCTAATAACCGACAGCCTTGAAACTTTGTATTCGCACATTCTCCAGACATAATTTGCACAAAACGTCGCAAGCATTGTCATTAGAAGAATGATGATGAGTGCACAAAAACAATAATCCGCAAGATACACAAAAGATACGCAGAACTCGTACCTCCATACGCATAAGCAGCGGGTAGCGCCTGCTTTCAAGCAAATGCAAAGCAAGCACAAAGCAACCCGTCGCGGTGATAAGGTATTTAATTACCGCTCATGCTCAATTTACGAGAAAAATGAATACGGGCGACGACAATTAATTGCGCCTTCGTGAGTAATGACTTCATTACGGTGCGCAAAATTTGTCTGCGTATGCGATGTGCATACAAATAGCAACAAAATGTAAAACACGACGCGGTTAACACACAAAAGCGAAGCGGGTTACGACCAGCATTTTTGCGCGCAGACCTGCTATGAAATTCATCAAGAAATACAGAAACGCAGATAGGTTATTATAATGTGGATGTTGATCGTTATCGAGACCAAACTACACATTTAATTGCCTTCCAGCGAACGGACAATCACCGGCCACAGAAGACTGCAAAGCCGCGCGCCGACAAAACAAGGAAGTATTCTTTTATTTTTAAAGCACTTGACGATTTTGACACTGAGACGGTATAATTATGAGCCTGGGACTTCCAACAATCGGGGAGATAATTAATTAGATGTTTTTGTGCATACGATGACATTCGGTGGAGATTTATTACCAAAATGCTTTCGTTTTTTAATTCTGTGGTCAAGAGGCGAGAGGCAACAGTTGACAGATTGTTTGCCTATGTTGCTTCAGTATACTTAAAAAATTATTATTATTGGCTAATTTATAACATTCTCATAGATTTTCATAGATCTTCATAGACTTTAAAAAAGCCTTTGACTCCATAAACCACAACAACTAATGGGAATTATACACTCACTCGAGATACGAACAAAGGTAAAGGCAATGATCAACGTTGTCACTGAGAAAACAACAACATCAGTAATTGCGAGAAGCGGACAGACAAGGGAATTCGAAACAAACAAAGGGATAAGGCAAGGAGACATACTATCAGCCACATTGTTCGCACTAGTAATAGATCACATACTCAGAAATGTACAAAGAAAGGGAACAATAAGAAACAAACCACTACAAATAATTGCATATGCTGATGACATTACAGTGATAGCCAAACAAAAATACCTGCTTGAAGGAACAATGAGGGAAATTATGGAAGAAGGAAGAAAAATTGGACTATACATAAATACAGAGAAGACAAATG